GTGTTGCATATGTGAGTTTGACATATAGTACATATATAAGAGATTCGCTGGTTTTTGTTGATTTAATTAACTCTTGAACAGCATGCAAAGAGACCACAAGGACGGCTAATGTAAAACATATTGAATATGTTTTGTATATGTTTTGATAACAGACACTTGTGTCTTTGTCCTAATCCATGTTTTTTTGGATAATTTATAAGAGATGCTACTTGTCTTCAGTTATAAAGTATATATCAATGCTCAATAGTAGAAAAACGATAGTTTGATTATTTTCTTTTTTCAAGCAGGAGATCCTTTGAATCGTCTTTGGAAACGAATGATTTGAGTTACACAATGAAAAAAAATGTATCAAGTGATTGCCCGATATCCATTCACACTAATGAGGTACGACGACAACAGCAAGAACTTTATTTTAAAGTGGGAATATAAAGGAATTACTTATATATGGAGAAGAATAAAAATATCACGTATATAGTTTATGTATTGTTTTCTGCAGGCGGATGATGAGCATGAGGTAACCCTACGTTTGTCGAAAAAGATTAAGATGTTAGAAAATAATCGAAGTTATTCGTCATCAGAAAGGTTGCTTAACCTTGAGTTCACCCTTGGACGGCCATGCCGGCAGTTGGACCAGATCTTTTGAATGATAATGGACGATGAACTACCTCTTTCATATTTATCATATCATTCCACTAATAAATTAGTAATAATCGCATCTGAATGTCTGCTCCTATTAACTTTTGAATCTAATTAAATCATTATTAAATCCATTTCTTATTTTTTGAGACGGATTAGTCGTTTCATATAGTGTAACACTTCCTCGTTTAGACGCTTTTTTTAAAAAAATAAAACTGGTATCTTATTAAAACCGGTCAATGAACACCTCCGTTTAACATAATCCCAAAAAAAAAAAAGTAAAAATATAGCTTATTCTAATGTTTATGGTCATGTTTGGCAAAAATAGTTGTTAGTTGGTAGCGGGTAATTGGTAGCATGTAGCAGGTAGCTGATATCAAAAGTAGCTGGAAGCTTTTGAAATATATAAAATTACATAAAAAGACAATTGATTAAAAATAAATAAATATATAAATATATTTAAAGGGTAATTATGGAAATTGATTTCAAAAACTCAGTAACATTTTGTTAAACGCTACATGAAGTAGCTTTTAGAATCGGAGCGTTTTGTTAAAACTAAAAGCTAAATGCGCGTACTGCCAAACGAATCTTTTTGTTTAAACTAGAGCATTTTATCAAAAGCTAAAAGCTAGAAGCTCCCAAACGCTTTCAAAAGTTCTGTATCAAGCACGTCATATGTATGTCGAGATTAAAGGATATTTATATCTATATTGTAGTATAAAATATTATAAAATATATTTAATTATATTTTGAATTTTAAGAGGCATAAGTAGAGATGAGTATTGGAACCGACCCCGTTTTACCCTCCCTTGGGCCTAATAATGCCACCACCTGCTGCCATGTCATTCCTTGAAGAACCATTGTGCTCAACTTCAAAATACCAAGAGAGAGAAAGTATGTTCAATCAGAAACATTTGAGAACAAATTTAGACCATTTATTCAAAAAAAATATTATTTATTTATTTATTAATTTATATATTATTTACTAATTTTATTATATAAAAAAATAAAAAGGTGGCCCACCTATTCCACCCTACCCATACTTTATATATATATATATATATATATATATATATATATATATATATATATATATATGTGTATTATAATATTACATCTTAATTGAAGCTTCACTACAAGACTGTCGGACCACTACCTACGGTCGTTGGACTGCTACTCGTCATTGTCGGAGTGTCATCGTATGCATCGAATATTCATAAAATGCTGCTACGAACAACCTCTAATCATCTATTCTCTTCGTAAACCAGCTCCATCTTCCGCTCATCTTCTTCCACCGAAAAGGTACCTCGTTGGAAACTACCTTGTCGGAAATCATCTCCTTCTCTTCACCTATCCGGTCTTGTTTTCATCATTGGATCTGGTTTCATCCACCTCTACGATTCACCAGATCTGGATTTGAAGTTGAAGGCCACCATATCTGGTTTCATATCTCCACAAAACATTATCCTTATTCCATTCCATTTCACAATCTAATATAACATCCCAAAATCACGATATAAAATTTCATTTTTAAGTTAAAAAAAGTCATTGTTTTCAAACAAAACCCTAACAAAACCAAGTATAAAATACAAATATCCCCAAGATCAATATAACATAAATCCAAAACATGTCATTGAAGCGTGTGTACGATTACGCTTTTGCCTTGCCACGGTCATCTGAAGTACCTGAAATAATAAACAGAAATTGTAAGCCAAAGCATAGTGAATTCCCCCAGAGCACCACACACAACATACATAACATGTACATTCATGCATGCTAAGTCCAATCAATCACCAGACTGGAATACCTTCAGGACCATAGCCATTGTGTTGGATTACCCCCGGCCCAATCAGTCATTGGACTGAAATGCCACTATACAACGGGTCCAATCAGTCATTAGATTAGCATACCCTCGGGTCCACAGCCAGTGGGTTAGATTACCCCTGGTATGTTGGCTCACACACATAACAGTAAAGCCTCAATCCCAAGTCATACTATGTCAACATATGCAATAGATAAACATATAAACAAGCAACAAGCAACAAGCAATAGGAGATCTACATATCACTACCGCATAGCACATCTTATATACCAGGATACAGATATAATAGATCACTATAGCATAACAACATCCTATATACCAGGATACAAATATAACATATCACTACAACATACAACATCCTATATACCAAGGCACATAACCTAGTGGGTCGGTAGTGGTGCTTTCAACCCACAAATATAATGAGGAAAATTCACATCTCAGTCTGAAAAGATAGCTAAATATGACACTGCTCTGAATATCTGTAACATCCCAAAAATCATGACCAAACATTCCTTTTAAAAACATTACTAATCCATAGCATTAAGTCATTCAATCATACTAAAAGGGGTTATATAACAAATCATAGTATTTTCCCAAACACTTATTCATTTTATCAGAGTAAACATCCCAGGCTAATCTTCTTGGTGTGTACCATGCGATCATCCCGAGCTCCTCCCTCCGCTACCAGAAATACTTGAAACCAAAACTGAAAGTCGTAAGCACGAAGCTTAGTGAGTTCCCTAAACTACCGCATACCAAACATATCTACTGATCCATACATGCCATTCATAATTCTGAGCACATAAACTACATACTGGGCCCCCGCCCGCCATCGGACCTCGTCTATCATCAGGCCCCGCCTGACATCAGGTCCCACCTGGCGTCAAGCCCCGCTCGGTATACAGATCTGTTTCCTTTAGGCCTCGTCTAACTCTGTGCCTCGCCCGCCATACACATACATACGATTAAATAACATACTGAAACATACGTAAACATTCCCTAACCATACCCTGCTCTAAGGCCTTGCCTAACTTAGACCCCGCCTCTGGTCTGCTACTGAAGTAGTGGAACCCCGTCCACACTCCTACTAGTAGTGAGATACGGGCCCTCACCCACACTCACATCCTTCCTATCACGGGCCTCGCCCCTGCTCTGCTAATATTGAGATATGGAACCCCATCCATTCTCAACTAGTGATGAGATACGGGACCTCGCCCACACTCACCTCCTTACCAGGCACATACAAGTATCACGAAGACAACAAGTATAATCTAACGCACTACATAAGAAAATCAGCAAGTTTGACCGATAACTCTAGCCATGGTTTTAAATTGATAGCTAGTACAATTTATAACAAAACTACCCTACAAAGTACAAACAAGTATTTAAAAAGAACAAAAATGTATGAATGCACACAAAAGATTTTACATCAAATAAATGTCGAAAAAGCCCCTTAATGTTTGGAAAATTGTGGGGGCTTTTAGTGCTTTATGGAGACCAACTTTCATCCTTTCAAATCTTCTTGCATCTCTAGTAAGCAGACCTTCCTTCCTTAGAGGCTTTCTGTGGTCCTCACTCACTTTCAAGAGTGACCCGACAATGCCCAGAGGGATTGCTTGTGCCTGCCCGGATAGACCACCTCCATGTGCTTTCACAAACACATCATAACTTGTCTCGTATCCCAATGTTGCTAAAGGCACTTTGATGTATTGCAGCCACAAAGGATTCCCTTGAAGGTATTCATGTATAATGTTGGAAGAAGGGTAAAATAGTAATTTGTTGTATGTACTTTACAATCTTTGTGATGCAAAAAGAATGATCGACTTAATACAGAAAGTAAGAGATTGTTAAGTCCTAACTTTATACAAATTTATCCTATGTAGTTATTTTCTCAAATGTCTTTTAAACATCATTTATCCAAACAAAAATTACTAGGAAAGGGAAAAGAAATAACTATGCCAAAAGTTATCTGGTGAGAAAACATGGAATAATTTATGAGTTTATTATGATTATTACAATCTTAAGCAATTATTGACACGAGTTTTGGAGAATTTAAACTGCTGATATTGAATACAGTCTTTGTTACAATAAATAAACTAAGAGGAGTTTCATAACGCATCTTGATATCATCAACAACTTACTCCTATAAATGAATATCACAACTTTTGATTTCACATTTGGCTATGTCAAATACTTGAAGTGTGAAAAAAATTGAAAGAATCTTGACAAATTTAAAATACCATTAGTTTGGTTGCAATTCAGAATTGATGATGCCAAATCAGTAAAACATTAAGGAGTACGTTGCAAGTTTCATGATCTCAAACAAAAAAGATTATTTGGTTAACAATTTGACAGCAATAGGTTTTGATGTAATTTCTGTATCAATTATGCGTTTGATAGCTCTTCTTGGTTGCTAGATTAGATAAAGTAAAAAAATTGAAGTTTTACAGCAAAAAACAATATAATATCAAAGCAAAAGGGATTTTTGAACAAATGTAGATAAGACGCAGGAAGCATAAATAATAATTAACAAGTGGATAATATGGAAGCCGGAGTATGTGTAGGGAGGGGCATATTTGGATCACAAATAGTAAATATAAACTTGAGAAAATTTAGTAAAGGCCTGCTACTTTCAAATTTGGGCTGTGCCCCTCCCGATTTCTCCATAGTCCATCCACAGTTCAATTTCCAAAATCCAAACCAAACGAATGTGAAATCGATCGTATCTTCCGCCCCCGTCGTTGCTCGTTGCCTCGCTGGAGTCTGGACGCGTGCGGCCTGCTGGTCTCGCCTAATCGCCAACCGACAATCGCCATTCATCGGAAATCAGCTGTCACCGGAAGTCACTCAAATCAGGTAGGTAAGGTTACCAGTTAGTATCACCATCGGATTTAGTATTTAGAAATGTATGTCTGAGTTGATAGGATTTCTTTGAAATTTGATGAAAAGCTCCAAACTACAGTCAATAATTCGAACGTGAAATTAGGGGCAAAATGTATCGGTTTTGTTATTTGAATGGTGTTAGGTTTTTTGACATAAAAATGTAGGCGCGTTTTATAGGGTAATCGGTTAATTACTGATTACTCCAGGTCAAAGGGTTTTTGTACAGAACCCTTAAATTTGTTTTCTTTATCGTATTTTGAATGCTTGATGTTAGGTTTTCCACTTTTCCTTTGTTGTTGCATGATAACGAATTGGATTTGCATCAGCTGGTTTGTTTCTCTAAGAATTTCTCTCTATCACCTTAGGGTTTCATCTTCCCAGTTACCTAGAACTCAGAAAAGCCAAAGAAATCTGTTTGACATCCAAATTGAATTGTCTTATGAGTTAAATTCAGTTTAATTAAGAGAAAAACTTATTCTCATCATCTCCTTGTTTTCTTTTCATCTTTTTGTAGGAAAATGGCTGAAACTAAGTAATGATGATTCAACAATACACTTCAATAATCACACCTCTTCATGAGTAGTATGGTAAGTTATTTCTCCACAAAACATTCATCTTCTCAGTTTTATGCATGTGATTGTCCCCCTTTTGCAACTTATAGTATCATGATAACTCTTGTAAATCTTTTTCAGAAGCCAAGAGAGCAACCAAAGGTTCCTTGCCAAATGGAAGCAGAGGTTGATAGAATCAGCAACTTACCAGGACACATCATAGACAAAATCTTGTCTCTTTTAACCCTCCGTGATGCAGTAAGAACAAGCATATTATCAAGCAGATGGAGATACAAATGGGTGAATCTCACAAGTCTTGTATTCGATAATCAATCTGTTCTAGTCTCATCTCAAGATCCAACAATCATAAAAAACAAAATGGTTAAAATTGTGGATCATGTTTTGTTACTTCACAATGGTCTAATCCACAAATTCAAGCTTTCACATCGAGACCTTCAAGGTGTTTGTGACATTGATAGATGGATTCTGTTTCTTTCACGAGGTTCAGTCAAAGAATTTATACTTGAGATTTGGAAAGGTCAACGCTACAAGCTACCATCTTCTCTATACTTGTGTGACAAGTTATCTCATTTAGAGCTTTTTAACTGTTTGTTAAAACCTCCATTGGGGTTTAATGGGTTTAAGATCTTGACTAGTCTTGATCTTCAACACATTACAATGGATCAAGATGTTTTTGAGGATTTGATACATAGGTGTCCGTTGCTTGAGAGGTTGACTTTGATGAACTTTGAAGGATTTGCAAATCTTAAGATTCATGCTCCTAAACTTACGTTTTTTGACATTGGAGGTGTTTTTGAAGATGTTGTGTTTGAGAACACTTTTCATCTTTCTACTGTTTCTATTGGGTTATATGTCAATATTGGCAATGATCATGAGTTGACCCTTGGAACTACCAGCAAGTTGACCAAGTTTTTTGCTTCGTTGCCAAGTATTCAAAGACTCGAAGTTCAAAGTTTCTTTTTAAAGGTAAAAATCCATCAAGGCCATGTTTGTCTGTATTTGTATTTGTTACACACACAGGATAATAAGACACAACAGAACAGGTTGTACTATATTTTTACAGAGACTGATTTCAATGAGACAAAAATTGTACTTTTTTGTCTCACCTTTTTGGAAAAGTTGCAATTTTTTTTTCTTGTGAGAAATGGGACCTTCCTTATTACAATACTAATTGGGGGGGTATTTTGGTCTATTTGGTTGCATGTATATAGTTTTTGGCAGTTGATATGGTGCCAAGGAGGTTGCCTACTCCATGTATGGAACTGAATTACCTTTCACTACGTATAAATTTCAATGACATGGACGAGTGTCTTGCGGCCCTTTGCATTCTTAGGAGTTCACCCAACCTTCTAGAACTCGAGATGTTGGTGAGTTTTTTTTTTTTTTTTTTTTCAATCCAGTGCATGTCAAACACAGTATAAGTATACATGTGAGTTCAGTGCATGTCAAACACAGTACAAGTGATTTATTTGTAAGAAATTTTTTATTATGGTGTAGGCACGACCGGATGAACAGGCAGGTCCAAGGGCAGTTGCAAAGAGCTTAGTGGAGGAAGACTTCCAGAATTGCTTTTTTAGCCAATTGCGGTTTGTGAAAATTGCTGGGATTTTGGGGGTGGCTCGAGAGCTGAATTTTATTAACTTTTTGCTTGCGAATACGCCTGTACTTGAAAGAATGACTGTGAAGCCTGCTTCTCAAGAATGTGGTTGGGACCTCCTTAAAGAATTGCTAAGGTTTAGGCGATCTTCTGTGCATGCTGAAATCATTTACCTCGATCCATGATTCACCCTAAAATATTAGTGTTTTCATGCTTTTTAGTTTTAATTCTTGTAACACTTGTGTTTTTTTAAGTATGTTAACCCGAATGAATCTGTTAACTTTGCTACAAAGACTTATTTTCTGCCACGTATCTTATATTCCTTCCACCGTTTTATTAGGTTTGTTAACATAGTATAAAATGAGCATATATCACAATATACTAGTCTTGATTGGACCTAACGACCTATGTTGCAATATAATCATAGTCTCATGATGTAGTTTTGTTGTAGCTATTTTTGATTTATTGTCTAGGTCTTTATTAGTTTTTTTTTTTTAAATGAAATTTTGTTGGTTTAAAATAAAGTAACTAAATTAAGAAAATTGTAAAGTTAGGTTATAATTTAATAATTTATCCAAGTATAATGTAATGAGAGTAAGTTACGGTTTTGGTCCATGTGGTATATATTTCTATTGGTTTGGTTATATTTTGGAAATTTGACACCGAGGGAGGGACCAAATATAATGGATTTATCTAGAACTGGAAATGAATCGAACATATTGTTTTTATATAATATTATTATATTATATGTTCATTGTGTTTGTTTATCTTCTTTATTTATATTTGTTCATGAATATAAACAAATGAACATGAACAATATAATTGGTTAAACAAACAGAAAAACTAAAAAACAAAAAAAATTTGTTTGTTTATATGTTCATGTTGGTTCCTTTATTCTTTATTCAGTTAATATAAAGAAATGAACATAAAAAAGCCATTGTTTGTATTGGTTTACATCAACCCAAGATTTAACTACAATAACAGTAATGTCAAAATTTTAAAATTAGAACCTAATGTGTGGAAATGTTTATATACCATAGTAACAAAAACTGTAACTTAATGATGTAATAATAATTTTTGGTAACGAAGAAGGGGCATTCTTGACAAACACAAGTACGTTATCTTGTAGTACGCTATCCCAATCCACCCTCATAAACTCTTCAACCAAATCTTCATCCCCAAATCCAGAAGGACCAAGAGAACGAAAATGGCGATGTCCATCTCTTCGCTCACCTCATCCTTCTCTTCTTTGTCTTTCTCCTCACAAATTTCTCAAAAACCCTACTCCATCTCTCTCGCTCCCTCCTCAAAATCTCTTCGCTTATCCCAATTTTCCACAACCAAACCCCAATCTCTTACAGTACTTGCCACTGTCGCCGCTGAGCCTCTCACCGGAGATTTGGAGACTACGAACATCGAGAAGTATGTCAAATCGAGACTCCCCGGTGGCTTCGCTGCCCAGACGCTGATTGGCACTGGTCGCCGGAAATGTGCCATTGCGCGGGTTGTCATTCAGGAAGGAACCGGAAAATTCATAATCAATTACCGTGATGCACAGGTATCTCCATATCATCCACTTGTTATACTTCCTGCGTCTTATCTACATTTGTTAGAAAAACCCTTATGCTGTAAAACTTCAATTTTTTTTAGTTTATCTAGCATCCAAGTAGAGCTATCAAACGCAGAATTGCCACAGAATCCAAAAATTTCGATAAAATTTTGCAATTACCTCAAAACCTATAACAAATACTTCCAGTGGTATGATATTGCTGTCAAATTGTTACCCAAATAATCTTTTTTGTATGAGATCATGAAACTTGCAACATTCTTCTTAAGGTATTACCCATTTAGCATCATCATTTCATCATTGCAACCAAACTAAAGGTATTTTAAATTAGTCCAGATTCTTTCAGTTCTTGTCTCACTGAAGAATTACTTCAAGTAATTAACATAACCAAATGTGAAATCAAAGTAGGAGTAAGTTGTTGATGATAACAATTAACAAAGACTGTGCAGTTTAAATTCCCAAAACCAGTGTGAATAATTGCTTAAGATTGGGCATTCAATTATTATACAGGAATATCTTCAAGGGAATCCTTTGTGGCTTCAATACATCAAAGTCCCTTTAGCTACTTTGGGATACGAGACAAGTTATGATGTGTTTGTGAAAGCACATGGAGGTGGTCTATCCGGGCAGGCACAAGCAATCTCTCTGGGCATTGCCCGGGCACTCCTGAAAGTGAGTGAAGACCACAGAAAGCCTCTGAGGAAGGAAGGTCTGCTTACTAGAGATGCAAGAAGAGTTGAAAGGAAGAAAGCTGGTCTCCATAAAGCACGAAAAGCCCCACAATTCTCCAAACGTTGAGGGGCGCTTTCGACATTTATTTGATGTTAAAATCTTTTGTTGCATTCAAATACTGGTTTGTACTTTGTAGGGTAGTTTTGTTATAAAATGTACTTCCTATCTAATTCGTACATCCACTTATCGTTATTCAATCACACTATGTTGCAATTGGTCAAAAACTAAGAAACTGTAGAAAAAGTATTAAGTGGACGTTTGTAGTGTGTACAGAGTTTCAAAACTCTTTTCTAATTGAATTGAAGGCATTCTCCTTCGACCTTCATGTGGAACATTACTTTCTAATGAGCTTATTAAGAAGTAAACACATCTTATTTCTATAAACAATAACCACAGCTCCATAAATGTGAAACTCTCGTCCAAGAATCATTGATTGTCCATCTATTATTTATTCTTATTTTCGTAAGTGGCTAGTTTTGTATGAAAGATCGATCCACTTGCCATTTACTTAAGCTAAGAGAATAACAACCACTTATTATATAATGCTTGAGTTCAACCGTATAGAGATTTTTATAGTATATCGGTGTCTCGAGTGGGCTCGAGAAAAGTGAACATAGCAATTTTTGGTAAAACGTTTTATACTCGAGTTTGTTTTCTCTTTTCTTACACCTTATTTTCTACATTATTACTTGCCTTTTTGTTTGAGAAAATTAATTGTATACTACGTTTTTACAAACCGAAAAAGTGTCATTTAGAGCATTTTTTTTGAACCGGCCAGAATTTAATTAAGGCAAGCAAGGCAGGGTGCCAAGCAGGCCACAAACCAAAATCTAATACATCATGCAGTATAGGGGGATATACCACCTCTTGACTAAAAAACTACAAAATACTAAAAGGATTATTACACCATATCACCCAATTACAATTCTCGATTTTTCCCCTGTACTTGACCCAAGCATAGATCAAAGTCAGCGCATGTTCCGCCGTTGTTGAAGGTTTTGAAGGAACTTTACTGAATATCCTGTTATTCTTGCCAGCCAAATACACCACAGTACATCATATACTATGCTTATGAGTATTTTCCTCTTCTTAGGGCAATTACCCCATTGAGATGCAAAACTAATAACATCTGCCACAATAGAGAAGCGATGAATATCTAATTGACACCATTTCGATATCCATTTAAAGGTGTCGTGAGCAAACATACAATCCACTAACAAATGGTCTACGGTTTCCTCCTGACTCGAACACATTGAGCATACAGTTGAGTTGATGTTGATTCCTCTGTGAGATAAGACATCAGCAGTCGGAATTCATCCCAAACAAGCTCTCCAGATAAAGACTAACACTTTGATTGAAACCATGCTATTCCATTCCATTCTTTTTATCGATACCTCAGTAATAACAGAATCGATTTGATCCCTAAGGATATTCACTTTAAATACATCATCTGGAGCCAAAGAGCCTTTCCACGAGTCCTTAGCATTCGAGAAGGAAAATGAGTTAATAATGTCCTTAAGTTCATCAAGTTCAACAATCTCAACCGGGGACGAAAGGGCCCTTTTCCAATCAGCAGCAAAATCGTAAGAGCTTCTCCGTTCAGAAATACATGCTGAATTACGCTTTTCAAGCTTGAAGAGGTTTGGGAATCGAATGGATAATGGTGACATGCCCAGCCATGCTTCATTCCAGAAGTTTATGTTCTCCCTTTACCTACAACCACAGAAAACAAGTTATCCGAAACAGCACCCGTCAATTCAGACTCTGATTTTGCCTTCACAATGTTATTCCACACGCAATTTATTGATTTTTTTGATATCATCGACAACGGCTTTCCATGGAGGTTACGTAAACCGGTGATAATTTATTTCCATATGGAGTTTTTATCATCTTTGAGTCGCAAAATCCATTTAATCAACAATACGATGTTGAGTGCTCTCAGTGATACAACACCGAGTCCTCCCTTTTCTGTATGAGCTAGCACTTTTGACCATGCAACCCATTGAATTTTGTTCTTCTCATCATTACCACCCTAAATGATTTGCCTACGATTTTTTTCTAGACTATTAATCACATTACTTGGAGCCTTGAATATTGAAAAGAAATATAAAGGTAAATTACCCAACACAATCTTTACAAGGGTGAGCCGGCCTCCAATAGATAGCGAGCTAGCTTTCCAGCTTGATAACTTGGCGTGAACACGGTCAATAATTGGCTTCCAATTTTTTGAACGGTTCATATTTGCTCCAACGGGAACTCCTAAATAGGTAGAAAGGAATGAGTCTGCATCACATCCAAGAACCCTTGCACCGCAGGCTAATTCTCTGTCAGATATCCCTACACCACATACCTTTGACTTATAAAAGTTGACTTTTAATCCGGAGGTCGCATGGAAACATCGTGGAATTCTTGCAAAGTTTTTAAGATTGCTTCTTGACCATTCCCCAATAAAAAGTGCGTCATCAGCATAGAAGAGGTGTGTCAAACAAGACTCACTCTTAGGGATGTGAACTCCATGAAAAAGGGATTTTTCTCGGGCTTCTTGTAGGGCGATGTTGAGACCCTCCATTGCAATTATAAAAAGAAATGGTGATAGTTGGTCGCCTTGTCTAACTCCATCTGAGAGTGGAAACTCCATGGTGGGAGAACCATTTACCAAAACTGAAACTCGGGCTAAAGCCAAACAACCTGAGATCCATGACCTCCATTTAAATTTGAATCCCATTTGCTCCATAGTCGAATCTAGGTAGCCCTAGTTGACTAAGTCAAGGCTTTATCAAAGTTAATCTTCAGAAAGAACATTTTCCTTTTGGCTTTCTTCGCCTAAGATTATACTTCTTTAATTGTGATAGGCCCATCAAGCATGTTTCTTCCTTCAATAAACGTCGTTTCAGCCTCGCCAGTGATTGAACCAATGACTTTCTTAAGCCGAAAACTTAGAGCTTTGGCAATGATTTTATATAGTGAGCCAATAAAACTAATTGGCCGAAAGTCATTCAAAATCAGCGAGTCTTTTATTTTGTAGCCAAAGTTATAAATGATGAATTACAACCTTTCGCAAACCAACTATTGGTTTCAAAATGTTTCACAAATAACATGATCATCATAGGCCAGAATTTTTTCAGGAACTTGAAAGTAAAACCATCAGGTCCAGGGGCCTTCTCACTTCCACAACCATAAATTGCAACTTTGATCTCCTCTGGACTGAATGGTTTTTCAAGTTCAATACAATCTTCAATACTAAACCGTTTGAACTTTGGATTAACAAATTTTGGTCTGGAAACAAATGGATCCTCAAATTTGGACTTAAAAAACCTCTAGACTTCCTTCTGTATCAGCTTTACCTCTGTTTCCCAATCCTCATTGATAATGAGACCATGTGTTTTATTTCTTCTTTTTTTGCTTTTGACCTCACCGTGAAAAAATTTGCTATTTTCATCACATTCCACTGTCCACTTGACTTTGGATTTTTGTTTTATGTCAAGCCGCCTTATATCTTCCATTTAACTCAATTTCTTCTTCCCTTTAGGCCACTCACTGGTTCCAGCTTCTGATAGATTGCGTGATTCAACATTGTTATCTAACTCCATGACCCTTCTTTTTAATTCGTCAAACATTTTCATCTCCTTTTCATATTCTTTTCTTCTTCAAATTTTTATGGCATTCTTTATGATACGAAGTTTGGCTACAAGAGCTTCATCCGAAGGACCACTTCATGTGAAGAAGTTCCAAGCTTGACAAACTATATCATCAAACCTATCCTACAGAAGCCATGAATTAAAAAATTAGAAGGGGCTAGGGTCAAAGTCTCTATTAATCGAAATCAGAGTGATTGGTGAGTGGTCTAAGTGTTCTCTCGGATGCGCAGTAACAAAGAAGGAGGGGTGAGCAGAAATAAAGTTTGTATAGTACAGAAAACGATCTACCTTACTTAACTTTATACCATCATCCCACATATGGGTATATTTTCAACCACCCATGTTGTGCTCTAGAAGACCCGTTTCCATAATGAAATTGGTGAAAGCATCTACAGTATATGGATAAAATATCGAATTGAGTCTCTCCTCCGGGTATCTCATGGAATTGAAATCAACAAAAAATAACCACATGCCAGTTCTGGAGTCTTTGTGGTTTTTAAGATCGTTCCACGATGTTTTTTTCTGCAATCGATTGTGGGGCATATACATTCACGACTATAGTTCCTCCGGTTGTTCCTCTCTAATTACGAATGGAAGCAGGAAAAAATCAGGATTTAATCATATTCGTTCTATCAAAGTATCTTTTTCCCATAGATTTATAATTCCCCCGGATCTACCCACTGCATCAACTGCATCACAGTCAAAATCTTGATTATCCAAGCAGCCAGCAAGATTCACTCTTGAGATGACTGAAATCTATGATTCTTGAATACCGCAGAAGTTGATACAATGTTCTACTTTTAATCTCCTTACCCACTCAATTTTGTGGGTATCGCCTATTCCTCTGACATTCAATGAAACTTCATTCATTGAGAAAGACACACATCTCCATCTCTGTTGAAGGGTTGCCTGAAAGCCCTGTCACTTTCAACAATTTGAAAACCCAACTCATTGCCAACAACTACAGTTTCAACAATCTCGTTGGTGGTGGAAGAAGAGTCTCTCAACTCCGACTCATGTTTTTGTGAATCATTACATGGATAAACACACATATTCAAATCAATAGAAGAATCAAGCTCGATTTCATGATTTGGGGGAAGTTGTGTATTTCTGCATGGGGAAGAAGATCTACTGTATGGTTGAAATCTTGAATGGGATTTGTTTATTTTTCTTATTTTAATACGTGATCCATCACTCGCATAATTCAGACTATCAAAGAGATTCGGATACCAAAGGGATTTTGGCCAGTGGTATTTGGTGTTGTCCTCCTTCCTTGAGGTCGAGGGCTCAAGTCATATTAGGGACATAGGTGGATTTAGGAGAATAGTTTAGGATTAGAATAGATTTGTCATTCCAAAAAAATAGATTCAAATCTCCATTAATATCTGGCCCATTTTCATGATGGCCCATATTTGTTTCCATGTCATCCGAGCTCCTAGGCTTATTGATTTGTCAACTGGCCCATTAGGGATCTTATCCAAATTACACTCAGTCGCATTATTCATGTGTTGAATAAGTGCATTAAATGGCGTATTGGAATTCTTCATATTATCTTCCCTAAGAGTCGCTTTAGCTTCCATCATCAGAGACGCATCGTTCTGAATTGTTGCCATCGGAGATCCTTAGTACGGTTGAGCTGGTTGGTTTTGATCGATCTAACTTTCTTCAAGGTCTTCAGGTGCCTGGTCAAATGTGTCGTAAATTCCGTCTTCCTCTTCATAGCTATCATCATCATCATCATCATCATCATTATCTCCGTCTGATTCGACCGGTTTGAAGGATGAAAACGGTTTGAATGGGTACCACTCATCATTAATTCAACTATCCCAATTATGTAGCTTTTACCATTCAACGATCCAACAATTTCCTCATTAATCTTTCTCCTGTGGGTAATGATGATTCCCACCTTCCCAAATGAAATATCAGAACACGTAAATATAACATTATATTGCGAGATGACCTTTCCAAACCGCTCAATGATTGATGCAAAGTTATCTTCGTCCCAAGCAAGTAATAGAGCCCCTGTAATTTTTAGCCATGAAATTCTATTGAATATGACCTCTTTTTTGTTGGCATAGTCGAGCCAATTGAACATTCTTTACCACATACTCTTGTTTGATAGAAAACGTGCGGCCATTGATGATCGATCAAATTTAATAACAACTTAAAAACCACCCGCATATCTACTTTCTATACCCTCGTAACCATCCATCCCAAGGAGGGACTTGAGGTTCTCCAGAGTGTCCAAGTCTTTGAATTCGCCCGTAAGGATCTTTTTCTTTAACCATCTCTTATTTGTAAGGTTCGGTTCAGGGGTAGTGGTTGTTGCATCTCCGGGGTTGCTTTTTTCGTAGGTTTTCCATAAGCAACTTCAAGAAATGATTTACCATCTCTGAATCCCATTCTATTGATATTTTTTACTTCTAATCTTATACCAGAGGGGGGAGTACTGAAGAAATGAGAAAAATTCAATAAACCTAGACTAGAATAGTCAAAGTGTTGAAAATGTTGAAACAGAGTTTCAGAATCGTCAAGTGGCAAGTAGTGCGGAAAATAAAGAGTTGCGAATCAGTAAAATTAATAGAAAAACGTTTTTTTTTAATGTTTAAGGTAAATGATTCAAATGTTTCTCATATTCATGAAGATTCAATTACAAGTGTTTGAATGTAGAACACATTAAAACTCTCAATTGGCTCTCTAAAAACTAGTCTAAGCAACAATTGTGCAGAATGAGCAGGAATGATCAGAAAAAAGAAACTTTATAATGGATCCAAGGGGCCTATTTATAGGCTTTGGAAAAGCCCATGACATGGCTTGACCAATCAGGTGTTGACACGTCATTATGACTTAGTCATCAGTTGACACCTTTGCCCTACTTAACGGAGAATTGATGGAATATTCCAATTCCATTAGTATTCCGTTAGGGTTCCATCCAAGTTATGAGTCTTCATAATTCTTGAACCTTCTTGATCAACATTGAAAAAGTGATGAGCAACATGAGCATCATGTTGCTCAATTGTCTTCTTAGATGTCATCAACTTCTAGAAGTGTTGTTGATCATGTTGAGTAGTTTCTTGAATGTTGGACTGTGTAAGTTCTTCAACGATCTTCACTCTCAGTGATTCTTCTTGATCTCCTGTTCTCTTCAATAAACCAATGATACCTTTAATGAATTCAGAAGAGAATAGATGTTTTGGGAGATTCTCATGAATTCCAGTCGACCTTTAAAAGAGAATACAACACCTCTATGTGGTTTCTTTAGAATGTTCCCAAGCGACTCATTCTCCATATTTAGATCCAAATTTGGTTCCTCAACTTCCTTTTCTCCTAGCTGTCCAAGCTCTCAGTCAACACTGAAATCAATAACCATGCCGAGCACATATTGCCTTAGGCGTTGTAGAACATCTGCATAAGCTTTATCTGTACTCACCCTCTGTTTCAACCAAATGATCAGTGATATGATATCAGCTTGGTTTATTCTAGGGAAATCAACTTCAGAAAACATGAACTCAGAGTTTTTTGTCCTTCTTCCTTGAAAGAATGCATATGGCATTTTTCTGAATTTTTGTATGTCAATCTTGCTGATTGAAGCAATCTTGAAATTTGGCCATACTGGGACAACTTGAATTGATTTCTTTAGAAAGAATCTTTTATTTAGCTCTTCAATGTCTAAATCAACCTCAGCTGGATAAATTGCACTTAGCCATAAGTTAAACTTCTCACCATTCGGGGGTACAAGAATATCTCAGTTTTCTTTAGTGAGGTCTGAAGGAGGTGTGAAGGAATTTGTGGGCTTGATGACCTTTACCTTTTGATAGGAATCTCTATCAGGGTTAAAGAAGATAGTTCTTTTAGGTGAAGACACTCTAAATTGCCATGCACTCCTTTCTTTAGTCGAGATCTCTGAAGATTTCCTTTTGCGAAGCACCTCTTGTTTAGACTTTAATTCCTTAGCCTTTAGTTGCTTAGATAACTCTTCATCTATTTGCATTTGAGTTTCTTTAGCTAATTCCTTTTTTTAGACTCGAAGATAATCTTCTGTTTTCCCTTATCGTTGGGATCATTCGAGAAAGCTTTCACTGAGTAGTTGATTCTGATATGATGACAAGTTTGGAGAAGTGGACATCTTTCCTTCTTGGAACTTTTAGAGATGGATCTTTGATCCCTTGTTGACGAATGAGTTCCTTTCCTTTCTTAGTTATCTTGGCTCTGTTCTGTTGACCCTTTAACTGTGCATCAACAGCGATTTTGTCAAGTGACTGTATTTTCTCATATCTCTTTTTCTCAAACTCATTTGGTGAGTCTGGAATTTGGTGTCTGATAGGAGACTGACTTGATTTGGTCTTGTGGACCTTTTCCCCCTCAGGTTTAGGTGGCCTCTCATTTGAACTAGATAGCTTTGCTAAGATCAAGTCAGGCTTGGAATCAGTTGACGCAACCTTTTGGTGAAGAACACATAGATCTAAAGTGGAAGATTGTGTCTTGATAATCTTGATTTCATCAACTAGCAACTGAACAGTCTTCTGAAGGGAAGATATATCACTTATGAGCTATTGTTTTTCTCAGAATTGGATTTGGATAGATTTTCTATGTCTGAGCTTAATGAATCCAGTTGACGTTGAACTTGCTCACTGAATGCCTGAAAGGGAGAGGTGGAGGAGGAAGCAGAAGCTTTAAGACAGTTTAGCAATGTACTTCTCAAGAGTGGAGATATAGCGGTCTTAAGCAGTAACATGGTTCTATATATGATCCAATTTGACTTCATAGACGGACTCTAGATTGGATAATGACTGAATGAAGTCATCTATCTTTTGATTCATCGGAGAGAGATAGGCTTCAATAGTGTTATGAATTTTCTGATCTAGAGTTTCAATCCTCCGCATGTTGCGAGCAATTTGTCCTTTTATATAAGCAATTCTGCCTTCAAAATCTTTAATAGTGACTTGAAGTGTTTTGACCCGTGCTTCTGTTTTCTCATCGAGGATACACATATTTGCTTTCATACGTTCAAGATTTTCTTAAAAGCTCTGCAGATATGTAGAGTGAGAAGATGTGTGAAAGCGAATCTCTGCAATACCATTAGCTACCATTTAGGCAGTAAGTATGATGCGCTCAAGCTCTGTTTCTGTGGTATTGTCCTCATTTGTTTCTTTAGGAGTACTGTCATCCTGAATAGGATCTTGTGAAAAGGATGAGAGATTTGGTTCGTTAACAACATCTTTTTCTTGAGACTCTTTTGGAGTTGGAGGAGAGTAGTCATCAAGATCAGTGTTGAAAGTCTTGGCAGATGCATTAGAGTAAAGAACAATAGACATGTCATTTGTCTCATCATCGACTATCAGTCCTTCACTGGAAGGAATATCTACCGTCCGCATTGGAGTATCCTCATCGGAATTATCTTGTACATGATAATCTTGAGGAAAATTTTCTGGTTTGGATTGCTTAGCATCATCTTGGTTATCTTCCTCAAGGGAGTTATAATCCAAGGAGACATGATGACTTGGACTTTCTAGAACCGAATGAAATCGTGTTGGTGAAAGTGGAGCTGAAGAGAATGGTTCATCATAGTCATATGGAGCTTGAAACAAGGAATCTAAGAAAGAGGATAACTTAGAGGTTGTACTAGATTTAGGAAGAGATGTAGGTTCCTCTAAATCTGCGCCATGATTATCATCAGAGACGGCTAGGGATGAAATAGGGGGCGGTTGACTTGATTTGGATTTCTTTTTCTTCTTTTCCGACTTCTTGGATGCATGATCAGAATGCAACCTCTTCTTTTTGGTAGGCGAAATAATTCCCTGCATGTATTTCTAATATGAGCATAGAGAAGCACAGTTTTCATCCAACCTTGTAAGTATAGAATCCAGCATGATGATTGGTTGTGAGGACCCAGATTTAGATACCGTAAGAATCCGATATGGCGTTATACACAAGAAATGTGGTTATGGGCCTTCTGGAATCCATCCTGGTGCAAGATTGCTATTATGGATGGTGTCATAAATAATGATTAACCACCAGCGAGGATGATGAATCAAAAAATTATTCTTTGAGGCAGGGAGAGAATTAAGGAAATTTTCACAAAGAATAGACGCATAGACAACATTGATGTCGTAGAAGAGCCCGTACATAAGAATCCAAAGGTCTGTTTTACCGCGACTGCGTCCACCAACTAATCCGAAGAGACACCTAGTGAGGAATATCACTTAGACCTAAACTGACTGCAAACTCTTCTTTAGTTAGGACCAAAGTAGCTTGAAAAAGATTAAATTCAACATCAAGTTGTTTGGGCTTTGCTCTTGTGGAGATGTCTGCTGATGGAAAGACTTTGGTGATAAGAGATTGTGGAGTTGGAGAAGTAGAAAGAAGGGCATATGCTAATGGGCATTTATGCAGATATTCAACTATGACACCGACTTCTTTGGGTTGTTCCTGAGTGTTGAGAAGTGTGGTATAGTTGGATGCAGCCATTTCAACTTTAGGTGATGATGAGTGTGTCTCAGTTGAAGGTCCAGTGGCATAGGAGTGTGAAGCCTTATGAGAAGACTTGGCTTTATAAGTCTGAACATCTTCTTTGGAAGCCATGTCTTGAGAAAATAGAAGAAGAACAAAATGAATAAAATGAATTTGTTAGTTAAAGAAATATAGCTAAAAAGCAGTTAGCTTATAATCTTAACTAAAAGATGGGAGGGGGATTTGAAATGTGTGAATTAGCATTTACTAAACAAGGTTGTGACTTGAGTAGTATTTTTGATTCAACTATGGACAAGAAGAATCTGCAAATTCATTTTCACTAAGTATAGGCCAGAAAGCAAATTACATGACAAATTGGAATAGGAAAAAAAGAAATTGATTTCATATAAAAAAATGATGTTACTAAATCATAGAAAAGGTGCAAAGATCAAGTAAAACTGCTAAGTCATGGCCTATGATGACTATGGCACATCAAATGAAAATGTCTTTAGAAACTAACATAAAATTAGGTATCATAGAGACACCAGTTGACAACTATGTATGTAAATCCAATAACACATAGAATTGTGAATGGATTTAGATAAAGTTGACAAATAAAAAAATATATGTTGATCCGAAAATAACATATAAAGACATGAAACTGGAGATCACATAAGAGTAAGAGAAGAGAAATTACCTTAAAGAATATGGGTGTAGGTAATAGACTTCTGAGTATGAAAAGCAAGATATGGATCAATAAGTATAATGCTCACAGGAAATATTTGATCAAAGACTCAACACTAAATAACCTAAGCATGGTATGTGAATATGAATTTGTTGGATTAGATGTCTAAGCCCATAACTATTATTGATATGTACTCGACCCGAGAGTAACATGGTCCATTTGGGTTGCATATCATCAGGACAATTTGTTAGGATGGATTCTTGAGAGAAGGTTATATATATATATATATATATATATATATATATATATATATATATATATATATATATATATGTATGTATATATATATATATATAATTTTATTAATATATTATAAGTTATAATATATTAATATGAAATCATATGTTTTAATTAGTATTGATCAAGAATTAATTTGGAATTAATTTAGTGATCAAAAGAGACTAATTAAATATGTAAGGACTAATTATGACAATTAGTTATTTTTTATGTGTTGGGCTTATAATCCATGTTGGACCAAGTTTATGTATGGATACATAACGAGTTGGGCCACATGGACCATGGGTCATAAACCCATGGGTATGGATTTGGGGCATACCCATGACCCTTGAAAGCCAACATATAAATACATGCTCTTAACCTAAAAAAATGCCTACATGCTTGTTCTTGGAGTTCATGGGTGTTTTTGGGTGCATGGAATTCTCTCTCAAGTTCCACCTTTGTCCATGATGTGGTGTGACTTCATTTGAGGCTTCCATACTATTGGGGCTAAGATTTTAAAGGCCAAATTCATCAAGTTCTACAAACTATACAAAGAGGTAAAACTTCTAACTATTGTTTTATGTGGTTTATATCATTTGTATGCTAGTTGTAGGCTTAAAGCTTTAGAAACAATATTTCATGTATAATTAGAGAAAACATAGATCCAAAGCTTTTAGGGTTGTCTGTGCACCTTAGGATGTTGTAGTATACAAAACCCAACAGTGGTATCAGAGCCATGGGTTGTTTTCAATTATACTTGATGCAACTAGCTGGAAAAAATGAATTGTTGTTGTCTAGACAGCAGACTCGACGAGTCCAGTGTGTGACTCGACGAGTCCATGAACAAATGCATCCAACTTGTCGAGTTTGTTCATGCACTCGACGAGTTCGACCCCCTGACAGCATATATTCGTGTTTTTTGGCCTGTTTTGGATTAGAATCATTACCACAAAGTGTTTTTGTTCATAAAATTGTTTTTGGTACTATGGTAATGTTTATTCCAATCCAAATAAAGTTATAATCAAGATTTCAAGTTTTATACATGTTTATATGATGCTTGAAAATTGTTAATTATGAATGTTCATGTTTATGAGTTTGTTTAAATTAATAGAAAAAATTATGTGATAGTTGTTTTCAATCCAAATTAATCTAGAAGTTGGTCATAATATGTGTTTTTGTAACTTGTCCTCAAGTTACATGAAAAGTCACATTTATGAATTTTAAAAACTCATAAAATTTCCATAAGTTATAAAAATGAAGAGTCACATTTTTTAATGCTTTTAAAGTCTTCCATAACTTGAGCTTGTCCTCAAGTTATGAAACTTGAAGAGTTTTTTCCATTAAAGCTACTTTAAACTCATAGGTTATGGAAATCAAAAGTTTTTGAATTGTTCAAAACTTGCCCTCAAGTTTTGGAATTTGCAAAGTTACCCCCATGTATACTTTAATTCCAACCCTTAGAATTTTAAAAGTTAAAATTCAAACTTTATGGACTTCATTAAATTAATTAAAGTGTTTAATTAAAAAATTTAATAGTTCCATAATGACATGGTTTAAGTTTAATTAAGTTAAGAGTATAGTTTAATTATTAGATTAAACCACCAAGTATTTTAAATGTGTAAAATACACCCTTATACTATTATAATATTAAAAGTTAATATTTATATATATATATATATATATATATATATATATATATATATATATATATATATATATATATATATATATTTATAAGATTAAAAGTCAGTCTTACCGTTAGTAGCCCTCATTCACGAAGCCGGTCTATAAGGGGGTATAAGGTTACTGCCTATAAAATGGCAGTTTAATGGGTGTCCACTCTCACCCACCGCTTCCTTGACTGGTGGAGGGTCATTAGCCGAACGGGTTTGACAGGATATTAATTCTCCCTTCATTAAAAGTATAATGATAAATATAAAGTAACACATATGCAGTCTCTTCTTCTGTAGGAACAAAATAAAGCCCAATATGACCTTTTTGAATATTATCTTTAAGGAAGTGATATCTGATATCAATGTGCTTGGTCATTGAGTGGTTGATTGGATTGTGAGAGATTTCAATTGCACTCTTAGAGTGACAATAGATTGGGATATGTTGCATTTTGAATCCATAATCTCTCAGTTGTGTTTACATACAGAGTACTTGAGAACAACAGTTGGCGGCAACAACATATTCAGCTTCAGCAGTAGAGGTTGAAACATATGTTTGCTTCTTTAAGGTCCAACTGACCAATCTCCCTCCTAAGAATTGACAGCTACCAGAAGTGCTCTTCCTTTTGAGCTTGCATTCTCCATAATCTGAGTCAGTAAAGGGTTGGAGATAGAAGTTGCCTTTAGCAGGATAGAATAGACCCAGAGTTTTCAGATATTTGAAAATTCTTTTGACTGTTATGAGATGGGATTCCTTGGGATTGGCTTGAAAGCGTATACACAGACATGTTGAAAACATGATGTCTGGTCGACTAGCTATAAGATACAGTAATGAGCCAATCATTCCTCTGTAGTGCTTCTGATCTACATATTTTCCATCAAGATCTAAATCAAGCTTGTAGGAAGTAGACATCGGTGTCTTTGCAGTTGATGCGTTCTCCATGGAGTATCTCTTCAATAGATTTTTGATGTACCACTCTAGACCAAAGAAGATTCACTTAAGAGATTGACGAACTTGTAGACCTAGGAAGTAGTTGAGCTCACCCATCATACTCATTATAAATTTGCTTTTCATCAACTCAGCAAACTCATCACTAAGATCCTTGCTGGTTGAACCGAATATGATGTCGTCGACGTAGATCTGCACAACGATCAGATGCTTTTTGTGGATTTTCCTAAAGAGAATGGGAGCAATAGAACCTCTTTGAAACTTGGAATATTCTAAGAACTTGGACAATGTTCCATACCATGCTCTTGGGGCTTGCTTCAATCCATAGACAGCCTTTTGAAGCTTATAGCAATGGTTGGGGAACTTCGGATCTTCAAAACCAGTATGTTGTTGAACATAAACATCCCTATGGATTTCTCTGTTGAAGAATGCACATTGCACGTCCATTTGGGAGACCTTAAAATTCTTGTGTGCAACAAATTCCAAGAAAATCCTAATGGCTTCTATCCTTGCAATAGGTGTAAAGGTTTCATCATAGTCTATGCGTTCTTGTTGCGAGTAGCCTTTGACAACTAGGGGTGAGCAGTTTGTCCCAAATCCCGATCCGATACCGGTACTGTACCGGAACCAGTATCGAACCGTACAAAATTTAAAAATACGGGACGGTACTTGGTACTCCAAATACATGAAATTCGAGAATCGGTACCGCCGATACTGGTACTAGTACCGAGTACCGGTACCATTCCCGATACCGGTACCGGTGATGTCAAT